CTTTCTGCCGGCTTCCCGAATGACTTTGGTTGTGGGAAGCCGCCAGGAAGTTGCCTTGCCTAATGACCATGGAATTCACTTAACAATGGCAAGAGTCACTTGTACAGTGAGATGGGCAGCATATATACGTTTGAAAAATAAATAAAAATAAATAAATAAACCAGGACTGCAGAGATTGCCAGCGCTAAGCAATGTGGTTGCACTTTATGACTGCATTGCTTAGCAATGGAAATTCCAGTCCCAATTGCTGTCATAAGTCAAGGACTACCTATATACAACATGGTTTTATTTCCTGCATAGCCCAGAGATGCGCACATTGGTTATTGATTGATTATGTGCCATTAAGTCACTGTCAATCCCTAGTGACCACATGGATAGATTTTCTTCATGTTAACTGTACACATTACTGGAATTTTATTATTCATTTGTGTTGTTCAGCAGCAATTGCCAAACTATCATAAATCTAACAAGTTTCATTTTTTGTAGGTTTTTCTTTACATATCTCCTGCCACACAGTGCCCCTTCATCCCTGAAACCATTGCTTGACGTGATAGTCAATGCTACCGGTAAGAACACACAAAGAATCTTTTTTTATCAGATGAAAAGATCTGTAGGATTGTGTGCTCATCAGATGCCACTGGATTGCACTGTATGAAGAAATATTTCTTTTCTTGAATCTCTAACTACTCAATTTCATTGGAAGACTTCCAATTTCTTGATTAGGATAAAGAAAATGTTTATCTCAATTTCCATTTTTCACGCTAAGATTTTTCAACCTCTTAATCATTCTATTCTCTCTCTCTCTCTCTCTCTTCAATCTCTCCGTTTTTTTTTTGCATTTTATACCACACCAAATAAAACTGATATTTTTAGTTTCATTTCCTTTTGGTTGAATTTCAAAGTGAAAATGTAAACATGAGAAATTAAACCTCTGTTGGTGTCCCCACCTCTGCTTCTTTTTCACTCAGTTAGCATGATATGGTTGTGCCTTTCTTTCTACAGTTCCTGTACTTTCTGTTTGGACAGAGTTTATTTTCTTCTCTAAGCCATTTTTTCCCCATTTCCTTCTTACAGGAGAACTTCGGTGGGGAATAGATGAAACAGCTGTTCACCTTGAAAGAGTTTTGTATTTATACAAGAGTGGCATATATCTTAAGAACTCTACATGGACACGCAAATCAGGTAAAGTACCAGCCTTAGAAATGGAGCAAATTTCTAGAATTTTACTGTCTCAAATGATAAAGAATGATGGAAGAATCTGAGAACCATTTTTAAACTGGTTTCAAGGGAAAGCAGGAGAAGGGGAAAGGAAAGCCTCTTTAAAGTAGAACTTCGTCTGAGAAAAGTGGGACCACAGTCAGGAGAAATGCAACTCCATGAAGGTTCTTGTCAATCTGAGTCATCCCATAAATAAATGTTAACAAGATAAACCTTGGTCATGTTACAGGACTAGGGTCTTAAGCTTTCATTGTGCTTTAGCTGTAAAACTTTTTATAGTGCCATAAATTATATTCCACTGTAGTGATGCAGAAACCAATCATATGTGTGTTTGTGGGGTGGAAGGGGAGGTTTAATAGTTATGCATCTTCTTTTCTAATAATAAATCACTCTATTATTAAAGTTGGTTATCTGGAGACTGTGCTTTAAAATGATACCGCATTCAAAATACCTCAGCGCGTTAGCAGTACTGACTGCAAAGAACCTAGGAGAAATTATCAGCTGTAAATAGGACTTGCAAGATGAGAGAAATAAAGTATAAAACATATATTTTTTAAACTAATTATAATTTGAAAAATTATTAGAAATAGTTTTCCGCAGAACACATGCCCTCTCATGTTTTGTCTAGATCACTGTTCCTTAAATTGCATTTTGCAGAAAACTAGTGGCCCCCAAATAACTACAAGATGCCCCTGACCTGGTCCCAAGATCCAAGAAAATACTTTTTTGTAGTTTTTGAACCCATTTTGTTTTACTAACCAAATAAGTTCTGCATAAACCAACTAATTGTTTGGTGTTCCAAGTTCTTAAATAGTTTAAGAAACACTATTCTAGATCACTTTACTGGCTATATTATTGGTTGAAAATGTAATGCCTATTTAGGAGTAGGATGGATTTGTTATTTTTTCATTCTTATGTTCATTCTCCGTTTATCAATCAGAGTGGGCATTCACGTTTCAGTATTCACTTTCTCCCCAATATATAGTTTTTATATATAAAAAGCACAAGTATGTTTGGAAAAGTGAGCCGACCAGAGTCACCCGTTGGGGGAGATGGGCGGCATACAAGTTTAACAATTATTAATTAATTAATTAATACATAGCCAAATCTGGGGGAAAAAATAGAACAAGTTCTTTTTGGTTCATGTACAGTTTGAGAAATGCAAATGTATATTCAAAGGCAAATTGAATGAATCTCCATATTCCTAATTACAGGTCATTTTACACATCACATAGTATGCCTAAATTTGTGATTAGATAGTACATTCAGTAAACAGTTACTGCATTATTGAATTTAGTTAATTAGAAAAAAGAAGATCATAAAAAAGGAAAATGATAGGATTATCTCATCCCATATGCCATATAAGTATAATAAACCAAGATACTGCCCAGAGTCCATACTGAGTTGGGTGGCCTTATAAATCTAAATCCTAAATCAATCAATCAATCAGTCAACCAATCTTGATTCCTTTCTCAAACCATTATGAAACAGGGAATTATATTTTTCAGTTGGTTGTCCCTGCTGTAGCTGTATTCACTACTGATGGTTTTAAATTTAACCTTTGAGTCACCATAGCAAATAGTAACAAGACAGCCTTGCTGCAGGATAATCCCCTATTCCTTGCTCCTCTGTCTTCTTATCTGTTATTTCTTTAATTTTATCATATTTTCCACCACTCTTCAATGTTTAATTTATAAGGTGGTTTACCATGTTAAACAAAAAGATAATAGAGCAAGTAACATAAAAATCTGGGTGATAAAGGATTAAGGGCAATGAACTACTGTATAGGATAGATGAAATATCTACTGTTTGTTTACTGAAAATTATGTAGTAGCCAACTGTACCCTTTCCTTCCCATTCTTTTTTTTACCTCTTCCCTCTTGTAGGATTGTCTAAGAAACCAGTGACTGAAATTTCATTTGTAAGCTGCTTTAGATAGGAAACTTCCTCTTTTACATCAGGCAGGTGGAAGCATCTAGGTGTCTTTGGCTTATTGCAGAAGAGCTAAGTTGAGTTGGACGTGGTTGGTTGGATGGAAAATCTATAGGCTGGAATTTTCCAGAACAAGGGAGAGGCAAATAATTTCTGCATTGTTGTCAAGAAACTTCATGGTTCTGTCACCAGGAATGGAGCTTGACTCGAAGGAGACTTTACTCGTCCTTTTCATTTATGTTACTCTGCACAGTGCCATGGATATTAATAGGCAATGTAAGGTCTGTAGGCATTATCTGTCATTTTTTTTAATTTGAAAGTTTCTCAACTCTTTTAATTTTAGAACATTTAGATCAGCCTTCTCCAAGCTGATGCTCTTCATAATGATTAGAAATGCAACTCTCAGGGTTCTCAAACAGCAGAACCTTTGGGTATGTTGACCTGGAATTCTGGGAACCAACACTTGGGAATGCTAATCTAGGCTTTTGTGGCAAATAGAAAATGCTTGGCAGACAGGAGATATCTACTGTATAGTTCTTTCAACATTCTGCAGTGTGTGGTGCGTTTACATTCATTGTAACGGATTCAGAGTAGACATAAGTTAGCCAAGACTCATTTGCCCCACTAATTTCAGTTGGTCTACTCTAAGCATAATTATATCTGCATCTAACCTTTGGCTTCAAAGGTCATAGGCATATTTTACCTTAGTAGGATTTTGTACTATAAGGAATGCTTAATTCCATGCAGGTTTATTTCCCTTAATCCTAAACCAATTGATTTTTCAAGATTTAAACATGAAAGGGCAAGTAAAATAATGTAAAATAGCATATGGTATAAATTAAACAAAATGAGTAATTGTAAAATTGGCCAGTGGTTCTATTGTAAACTTGTTAGTAGTTGAGTCCATGTATATAAAGTTGAGACTCTTTTTTTAAGCTGGCCAATTGTTACTCTGCTATATATAAAGGAAATTAATACCTATACTGTGTTATTCTACAAATAAGTTTAAATAGCTTTCATGTTTCTCTTTTTTGGAGTCGGACAGAAGCATTTAATTTTGTCAATTCAACAAATGAAGAAGAAAGTACATTAGAACGTTGATACATTGTAGGCAATAACCTGAAAAAAAGACTGGGCAGATTTCCAACTTGTAGCTATTAAAAAAAACATTAAAAACAACAGTCTGTTGCTGTGGTTGAAATAAATGGTCATTAGGACTGATTAAAGTCAGATTGAGAGTGATTCAAGCAAGTTTAAAAGGAGGAAACCACTGCCTGTTTTACCTAATTTATATTATATTGTATTCCAAGAATTTGACTGGTCGAGGTAAAATGGGTTTGCCTGCTATTCAGATAGTAAAGATTGTTTTTAGAAAGATTTGCCTGTAAGAAGAGAAGGAGCCATATCATAGTTGTGGGATTCATGCCCTAAATATGACAAGTTCAGTCCCAAGCATCTCTTATTAAAAAGGTTACGTGGGCTGAGATCTTAGCCTGAAGGCACTGCAGGTCAGAAAAACTAGATTTAACAAATAACCTTGTATAAAATATTTTTCTGAATATCCCTTTTTGCATGACTTGTGCTAACAAGAGAATGCTGGGTTCGATGGATCTTAACTGTAATCAGGGAAGGTACTTCTACCATTCTGGTCATAAAAACATGGGGGCATGAGCAGATAATATGAGATTTGGGCAGGCTACTAGGTGGACCTGCAGCCAGTCATTGTCTCAGGCGCTCTTCACATGGTTGTCTTGAGCAGCGTGCCTGGGGAATTTTGGGAGTTGAAGTCGACACATCTTAAAGTTACTGGTTATGACTGCTACTGTAATTTGATCTTCAGCTGCTCTTTCAGTGTGTAAATGTTTTTGGTTTTAACTTGTAAGGATGTTTTGAACAGTTAATATTGGGATTTTTGCTATGAGCTGCCTTGTGCTCTAAGTAGTAATGACAGGGATGCACATTTAAAAATAAATCAATACGATAAGTACTGTACTGTGCAAAATGATTGTTCCTGTGGTATCAGTGGCAGCACCAGGGAAAAAATGGAGGGGCACTGAGAGGTCAAAGTGCAGGGAAGGAAGGATTTTATGTCACAGGAACCTTCCTATCCTCAGTATTGATAACTTGGTTCTAATTCTTGAACTTATGTTGAACGTGCCTTATTTGCTGGACAATCTACTCAGGATTGTTAGACAAGACAGATGCAGGCATCCTGCCAATGGTTTGAACTTTCCAGCAGTAGTTTCAACTAGAATCATTTTCATTTAGGATGTTGCTGTTGGTTTGCAATGTCTTCAACCGTCTTGATAATGGAGCATTATAACGGAAGCCTTCACCCGTCGCCAGTCTCAAACATCGTGGCTGTAGTGAATGTGCAAATTTATTGCTACCATTAACTTATCAGGCAAATTATTTATAGGCTTTAAACAACAGGGGCCTGTAAATTGGGCAGAACTTTGACCTTTTAATGATGTGAGTTACTGCATGGAGTCTGCAGATTCCACAAAGGCCATTTAAACCTGTTTCAGGTTTTGGCAAGACAAAAAGGGGAAAAAAACAACAATAACCTTGCCCTGAACTACATTCGCCTGTAATCCTGGAGTCTTCTTAAATTTAATTCAAGTATGTGGAGTAGAAATGGCATCTACTCAGAGTAGGCTGTACATATATGAGGCCTTGTTACCAGATGGGCCTCCAGTGTCAGAAGGAATTTGTCAGCAATACTAGTAACCTTCACATGCCGCTATCATTTTTCATATTCTTTATCTCATGATGAATGATCAGAATATTATGTAAAAAAAAAAACAGTCATCCTTATTGCAATCCATTACTGCTGATGGATATTTATATAACAGATAGAAGTTGGAGGAACAGTGAAAGTCTGTCTTGCCTAAAAACTGCCTAATGGTGAAATAACATTTTTTGAGACTTCCTGTCTCTCTCCTATGAGGCTGCACAAGATTATAACTTACTTACTTACTTACTTACTTACTTACTTACTTTATTTATTTATTTATTTATATCTCTGCTGC